AGTTTTACATCATTACAATATAGCGATATAGAAATACATAATTATTTACCTAGTGCAAATTGCTTCTATGTCACATTCAAGAATTCCTCTTATTATAGCCTAGTAAATTTATATCTATAGAGATGGATGATGTATATATATTGCTATATAGTTATGTAAAAATTCATACCTATCTATCGTACGTACTATCTATATCACATTTAAGAATTGGCTTCTATTTGGATTGGTAAAGGTCTGTGGAGCTTATGAACCGGCAGTTTATTGTCAGTAACCATGCAAAATATTATATACGAACGTTGAGTTAGGGGTGGATTTTGGTGTGGTGTGGTTGTTAGGGCATTTCTATCGTATATATCATGTCGTTCGAGAATATTTTAGGTGAGCTCTAAATCTTTCGTCCGTGCCAATTGTGCAGAGTGAAACGGGGTTTCATAATTCAAATGTTTTTATGCTGCGATCGTACTTACATTCGGACAGTTCTAATCATCACCTGAAACTTCGCCTTCTTACTCACTATCATCTTACACTTCGCCTACTTGTTCGGTGGTTGTCTGTGCCCATTCCCATGGCCCAGTCACTGTCGAATGCACTGTCAGTCGAGGACAATGAAGTAAACGTACGCGAGCGGGACGACAAGGTGCCCGGGCTCTCAGTAGCTGTAGAACTAAGCCTGGCAAGTGAAGCGGCAGATGAGGTGTATGCGCAGATAGCTAACGGCACCCAGGCTATGGTTGATCTGTCTATACGAAAGGCCAACCACACCAACGACACTGTATACAACAAGGGCATAGATGATATATGTACCTTTGCCGAGCCCTGCTTTCAGCACGGCGTGTGTGAACTGGACGGACCCAACCTGTACTCGTGCGAGTGCTTCAGCTCGGTTGACGAGGATGAACCGTTGTTTACGGGTGACAACTGTGCATTTACCTACACGTTGTTTGTAGACGAGTCCTTCAGCAAGCGAGGCGAGGGCTATGAATACGATCCCTTAATGTTTGAGAACGAATTGGGCGTGGCCATAGACCGGCAGGGCATGGATGATATCACCGTCATCAGCGAAGTCAGTCGCCTGCCGTACATCCAGCTAGAGCTGTCCACGTCCACTGCAGAAACCCTGTCCGATCAGATTGCCCTGGGTTCCTTAGACATCACCATTCTAGGCATCATCTCCGCTGAGCAGGCGTCTGATATCGCGGGGGTGCCGTCGGTGGTCTTCTATAACGGGGCCTTGGGAGACAACGGATCAGATGATGCCGACAATCCCGACACTGCCGAAGAGCCTGAGTCGGATTCCGACCAATCCGACAACTCCACCGACAGCTCAGTGCAGCAGTCAGATGCCATGGACACCTGGGTCATTGTACTGCTTGCCGTGGGGACTACTATGGTGGTGCTGTTTGTGTGCGCTGGGCTGTTTCTGTGGTATCGGCGCAAATGGTACGGCAAAGCGACACGCCCTGCACGGATTAGTTCGTCTCTGCCCAGGAATGTCAACGGCTCGTCATTCACGCCCGAAGCAGCAAGGTAGGTGGGGTGGGGTGTGGGGAGTGTCTGTGTATGTAGACATGCTACTTCACGTCAGTGCGTATGTACACCAGCGTTTGCCTATACGACGTATTTGACCTATAAGACTTGTGTGTCTGGTCTTTCTGCGTAGCTGTGTATCCCTTAAGTGTGTGTGTACCGCTAGACTATATTTCCTTTCTATCAGTGAAGCATATCGTGACGATCGTCAGTACATAAAAACCGCGGGGTTTTTGTTAGTACATAACCCGAGTTTTTCCTTAGTCCCCATGCGTTTACTGTGCATACGAGCTATGTGTGTAGTTGGCGTTCGCTGTATGCTCCGGCTGAATTTTGTGTCCCCATACTGCTATGTATTTCCCGCTAAAGTCAAGCTAAACCTGGTATGGTTGTACTCTCGGCTTGTTGTGTATATGTTCTCAGGCAAAAAATCTGAACCCTGCGTTTGTAGAACCCTAAAACCTTAAACCCTGAAACAAACCTTTCGAACCTTGATACCCTACTCAGAATGACGCACATGTCATCTACTCATAGTGACAGGAATCCGTCGCTAGTAGTCAGCGTGACCGATGCCAAACGATTGGAGAATCACCCCAAAGTCAAGCACACTATAGCCAGTGAACCCACCGACGAACCTCGTCTGAGCAACCACTCCGCTGCAAGGCCTCTCCCTCCGATGAGCCCCTGGATGAATACCGGTAAGTGGCAAGTATCGGTATA